TTCTGTTTTGATAACTGCCTGCTTTTGAAGTTTTATACTATGTACAAATTGTGTTTTTATTAATACTGCTATGTATTGATGTATTCAATTATACTATATCTGATTATATAGCCAATTCTATTGAAGATAACAAGAGACAACACAGGAACTATGGTAGAAATCCTTGCACAACAGTCTTATATGTCTTTTTCGTTTCATGTGTTTATAGGAATATGCTTTGTTTTGTCTTGCTTTGTTTTTTTCTCCCTCTAATATAGAAAGGATAAAAATACATGTTAAGACTCATGCATGTGTAGAACCTATAAACAGTTTATGAGAACTGATCTTATGACACATAATGAAATAAACAGATATTTTGATGAAAAAGAGACACTAATATACCCAGTGCTGATCCTGGAGTGTCATAATGTGACATTCAGCAATAGTATTATTCTTTGTTCAGAGTGATATTACCTGCTTGGGTTTGTTCAATCTCAACATAAATGAAGATATGGATAACTGCATGTATGTTTAAGTGTAACCATATTTCTAATTTTTTGTTGGGTAGTTGAACAGAACTGGGTGCAATCTCACTGTTTGAATCCCCACTTTATATGTTCCACTTTAGTATCTTGAATAACTATTTGTAAGAGGACAATCTGTAATCATCAGCTAGTGATTTCTTACTGTTTATTTTTTTCTTTGAAAGTATGTATTATTTCTACTCACTTTCTGTTTTGCTTAGTCTTTCTTTAAATAAAATTTTAAAAAAGAAAAAAACTAAAATGCCTTTCCTTCTTTTACTGAACCCTTCCTCATTCTTCAAAACTTAATTAAAATACTACTTTCTTTCTGAGGGGCTTCCTGATTATCTCACAGACTCTTAGTCAAACTTGAATTAAAATTGTGGTTTAACTAGGATACCAACTCCTCAAGGCTCAAGATTACCACTCCTCACCACTTGGAAAATGTCAGTACCTGACACAATGTCAGAAAACATAATTTTTTTCTTACCTTCTTCTATCAAAGTCACCATTTCCTCGTTTATAAAATCGGTGGTCTTGGCAAATATTGTTCTTTAAAGCCTTCTATTAAAAAATCTTCAGTCAATTAACCCAAATATTTGTATCGCTTCCCTGAGTCTTCACTCAATGTCATTTTTTCAATGAGTTTTTTTTTTCCTGAGCACACTATTTAAAAATCTAATACTCTTTCCTGGAACACTCCTTTTCTGATTTATCTTCTCTGTAACACTTTGCTCCCATTAACATACTCCATAATTTACTTAGGTGTTTTGTTTGCTGTCTCCCTCCACTAGAATTAAATAGCCAGCAGGCAGGCCACTTCGGTTATATTATTTACTGCTACGTGTTTGGCACCAAAAAGGATGTCTAGCATGTAGTTGGCTTTCAATGAGTACCTGATGACTGAATGAGCTCCCAAATATTAAAGCCGAAAGGCTTTAAGGAATCATTTCATCAAATAGTTAAAAAAATAATTGATAACACTTAGAGTGATGCCTAGATTTTTATAATGTGGCCAAATAGAAGGAGCTGCAAGCTAATCCCAGCTGTCTGGAACCAGGGAGCACCACCAGAATAAAGGGATGCAGTTGCCTGTGAGTCTAAGGCCTGGACTAACTCAAGTGAGCCTTGCCAATAATCCTGCCACAGCACAGTCACATTCCCACGTGCGGGGCACAATCACCATCTGTTCCTAGAAAACACGCTGCAGGAAAAGAGGTCTAGTCCACAAGCCAAAGCTAGTTAAGTTCCCTGGCTTCTCCTTTATTGTGTTTCTCCCTGGGGATATTCTTTCCTTTGGAACTTAGTGACCTGCACCTTTCCTCACACCCCCAGAAAATCCTCAAGACACTTGACAAGGACCTACCATGTACACCACTGGAACTAAAAAACTGTTCACTGCTTATAAAACTTACTAAACAGTTCACCTGGTACATCACACACTGGTAAATACAGGGAAGAGATGATGTCTTTCTGTTGTCACTGAAATACATGCAGCTAGAAATCATAATCTATGTGCAAACAATGGCAATTGAAAAGTATCTCTGAAGCACCTCTTACTGTTGGTTCATTTATCTGTCGGTCAGTTTCCTCCACGCCACATCCTCCATGTTAAGTCCTAGCAATAAAGTGAGGTCAGAGTGTAGGAAGTTTAGAAATCAGAGAGCTCCAAAATCTATACGTTCCTCTCTGTACCAAGTGAAATACTTAAGGAATCGTATAGGGAAGTCTACCCTTTCCACCCTGCACAGTTCTGTGGGACTCGGGGTGGGGATGTCAGATATTGATTGAAGAAGATGAATATTGATCCCAAAACCCCTTGATTCAGGAGAAAGTTGTGCTAGAAAGGTGGTCCAGTAATAAGCATTCTAATAGGATCAGGGATCCTGAGGGCCCTGAGGTTATTAAGTGCTTTAGCAAACCTCCCTAATTCCACCAGGAGAAACCTTTACTAGGAAAAGCTCATGTACTTTTCTTGTGTCAGTGGCGTGATGGTGGTGGCAACAGACAGCTATGTGGTTTTTACTCTCCTAATATCTGAACAGCATATATTATGGGACCCACAAACTCCTTTCATACCAGTTTAGGGAATCCAGAGACGCTTGGAACATGTAAAAGAGCAAAGCCCTGCTGTTAGAACAGAGCAGCCACAGTAGATTCAGACTTCAAAAATCTATGACCCTGGGCTGTATTGGTGGATTCTAGAAGACTTGCTTTTATCATAGCAGTCACTAGTTTAGGAGGCAAATCCAATTGGCCACTCTCCATCCCCACCCAGCAGAAATTTCTTTAATACTACATAAGCCTGAGGAGGCCTCCCTTTCCTCTCCCACCATATGAAATTATATAAATCCTGCCCTGACACTAGTTTGAAAAACAGTACACATTTGAGGATTTCTGTATAAGGGCTACCCAGAAAATAGGTCTCTGTGAGGATAAGATAAAGTATAGACACATAGTTATCTTTGCTTTGCATAGTATGTAAAGAGTGAATATTTTTGTTATTTCAGTTCATCTTTGATACCTAAGTACTGTGAGACTTTTGAGAGCTAACCAAGGACTTTTGAGATTCTGTATACAGAAAATCTGCACAATGTAGAGTGGGTGTAAACCCCTGTGCCAAAATTAAAAATTCTGAGTCAAAGTTATGATCCAGGAAAAAGAATTTGCAAATGCAGATAGAAGATAATCAGTAAAAATAAGAAAAGAAGGAGGTTAAGAAAGATTATTATTTTGCCTCTTCTTTGTCTGTAAATTTTTAAAAAGTTGAGCCATCATTTCAGAGAAGGTGAATTAACACCATTAGCATCAATTCAAACCTGGCACCTATGTATTTAGAAATGATATATTTGAAAGAAGACATTGGAGTTAAATAATTATCAGAAAGACAATACATAGGTAATATATTATAAATTTAGTCCACTTAGGAAGATCCAAGAGTCCAGATCCATGCCAGTCTCGTGAGAGCAAGCCAATATACATCCTTCAGCTAAAAAGCTGAAGTTAAAGAACGTATACTTTCTGGGAGTAAAGGGGTCTATACAGATTGAACTGTATAATCCATCTATACTAGAAGGCTCCTTTAGGTAAGGAGAGTTATTTATCCTCACTTTCATATTCAAAACATAATAGGAGTTCTCAGCTCAAAGAAAGCATTTCCTCCACAAAATCTGCAGACCCTACTGGTTGAAAAGTAGAGAGAATAAATAAGTCAGTACTGGCAAAGGGCTGTCCGTCCATAGAGCCCACAGATACAATCAGCAACAGGTTTCCTGGCCAAATTTGGAGCAACTGGGTGTGTATTAATAGGGAAATAAAAGCAAGATAACTATCAAGCACTTGGGAAAAAGGATAGTTAAGATTCTAATTATGAAGACATGTGCTTTCCAGAAATAGAAATGTTTATTATGGTTGCATAATATATTTTAAATATGTTCCAGTTTAAGGTCTCTTATTGGTAAGTTTGTCATTAAATTCCTGAACACTGTTTAACTGCCATTAAGAGTTAAAAATAAAGGTATAAGAAGGAGACTAAGTCCATGCAGAATTGGAAAGCTAATCATAGCAGGAGGAGACTTAGGTAGACAAAATTAATATTTCTTAGAGTTTGGGACAGTATTTTAAAAAGATAATACAGGGGGAAAAAGTAAACCAGGTTTTCACGCTCCTTTTCTTCGTATGGTTAGGGGCCAGAAATAAGAGGGTGATGTACCCCAACATTTAAATAGCTTTGGAAATAAGCGAAAGCCTCCTACCCCCATACATCAGTGTGGGACTACCACTTCAAAAATAAAAAGTCATGCATGGTACCATGTGCTATGAAGAAAAAATAGCAGAAGTGAGGTGTTGAACCAATTCTTGATAGTAGGTGGAATCCACGCCTCTCAATTACAGCTGCATAAAACACAAAGCACCTGGAAATTCCTGTACGTCCAAGACAGGAACAACATTTAATTAAGAGGATTGTTCAACCTAGAGATGGCAGGGTCCAGATGTATAGATTCTGGTGGATAATGACTGAGACTGGGGGAATGGGTCCAGGATTAAAATTTTCAGTGGTGAATGTCAGCACAAAAGCTAGACAGGACAAGATACCTCAGGCTGGAGGTCATCCGTGACCAGCTGGTTTTCAGCAGGCTTCAGCTAGAAACCATCAGAATTTAGGTGAATATGAGATTTTCCTTTTTTCTATGACACAAAATCTTATCACACACACCTCTATTTGACACATCTGATTATATTATGGAAATGTAGGTACAAAAAGAATTCTGAGAACCTAAGCATATGAATTTAAGAGCGTGAGCAGTTGGCCACAGGTGTACTAAATTATCACACTGGACCCAGTTTACTGGGTTACAATTCTTATGCAGTCTATTTCCTAGGTGCAGTTGGTTTGTAAGGAAGAGCAGATGAGGAATAAAAGTGACAATTTCTTTAAGAAATATTAATCTGAGAGTAATAATTTATAAATTAAATTAATAAGGAAAGTATCCAAAACCCAATTAACAAAACTCTTTTATTGATAGAAAAGCAAAACAAAATTTTCATGAATTCTAATATCTATTTTATTCTACCTGTTGAATATACTCAAGTTCAAAAATCAGTCTGTTGTTGTCAGTGTCGTTATTGATAATCTTTCTACAGAAACAACCCAGTACAATCACAAGTTTCAGGGAAAATCCCTGCCTCAAACAAGTAAGCCCACTTTGTATATCATTGTACTCAATTAAAGCTAATTAAATTCATATTATCACTTAAGCATTTTTGCCTGGCACCAATTGTATTATTAGGTTGGTGACAGTAATAAGTATTGACGTCAAGCCATATAAGCTATTTTTCAAAGATTATCAAATAAATGGAAAAAATGATCAGAATCAGATTTGTTTAGCCCAGTGATTAAATATCCTAGTACAGATAGGGCAATTCATTCTTATATGAACTAAAGCATCTGTGACCACAGTCACTAGTTCAAAAATGAACAAGTAGTTTCCAATTAAAATTCAAATCCCAGGTTCACAAGTGATTAGCTTTGAGGAGCCTGGCCAGATTATATGAAAGTTCTGATTCTAATTGAGCCCATAACTTTCAGGTAATATCAGCTAGTAACTGCTTAGCTGTCATCCACATCCAAACATTTAAAGGATATGTGTGCATATTGGAAAAATAAACTTTTAACCATTACCAATTAATTAATTGATACAAATAGAAATGGAAATGTCAGAAGCCAAAGAAGTATTTTTAAAAAACTGATTTGTCCATATTTCAAAAAAATTACTTATCAGACTTAAAAAAAAACCCCAATGATTATATTTTCACTTTACCTTTAGCTATACAGATATAAGTTGTACTTACACAACATATAGATTTAAAATGAAAAATTGAACTTCAGTCCACATTTGTGGTCTAGATGATCCTAACACTCTTCTGAATATTTTTGTGTCCCATCTAGATAGTTAGACTACATTGATATGGTCATAACTTTATTATCATTGCTACATTTGAGTCACTAGCATAGGAAACAAAGCTTATCTAATTACCAATTTCCAAAGCCAACCAGGACTCTCTCCCCTTTCATTAAACAAGGAAAAAGTCATTCAGATTTGACCTCAGAGAAATAATTGCATGCATATACCTGACTTCTCAGTATCCTCTCTGGATAAGAGAATGGAACAGCTATTTGGTTTCCATCTCATTCTTGTAATGACAGAAAAGAGAATACAAAAAGTCCATTGTAAATTTGTACAAAATGTATGCATATAGAAATACATATCTATGGGTATATAAATTCTAAAGATAATATTCATCTACATCTTGAAGATTCAGAGTCCCATACAGTTGACATAATGGCATTCTCTCTCCAATTCTCTCATTTTTAAAAACAATAAGAATCAAGCATGCCATCTTATTAATACTGAATAGCAAGAGCAGAAGTTGAGCTACAGCTATAGGGTTTGAAGCAACTAGTTTGACGGGACATCAGTGAAAAAAAATCCTTAAATTTAGCTATTTCCAGAGTGCCTTTTCATATAAAGAAGACCAAAATTTCCTGTTAGTAGCATCCCAAACTCCTGGAACTGACAACTGAGCTCTATAAGAAGCAGTGTTTTATACAGAGTTTATACAAACTGCTTGTATATGTGCTTATTGCAGTAATTTGGTGTGGGGACTGTCTTACTAGAATCTCATGTAAGTCTCGATCTCAAAATTGCATGTCACATGACCAGAAACCTATGGTTCTGAGTATATTAAACTTAATATGAAATTGGATTTAAAAACTGTATCATCTTCTCAGAGGACAGTAGTAAAGTATTAAACCATAGTAAATTAACGGAGAAAGGCATACGCATTTAAAGGTGCACAATAAATCAGTTTAGTACACATATATGTTCACGTTTAGAGGTATCAAGATTTTTAAACAATATACACTATTCTTTTAATTCTCTCACTTCTTCTATTCATTTGGAAAAAACTACATAGGACATTACCCCCCAGGGTTTACAGGCTGTTCCTTGGAAGGGAATTATTATTGCATGCCTTAAATACACTATAATTCATAAGGCAGGAACATATGAGTAGCTTCAGCACCAAGAGAATGGAATCATCATCTAATACTGTTCACAACTGAATGTTATTGCTTTAATAAAATGGGAAATTATTCACTGTAAAAAGTTTACCAAATTGGGGGGAATATCTATGAATTTTAGTAGAGCTCATTAGAAATAAGGATGCTCCCTTTGGATTCTTGATTCTATTCTACATCCAAGTCCAAATTAAAGGGCTACAGCTGTTTGTGGGTAAACGAGAAAAATTAATGAACTTTCCTCTTCACAGTGCCTTCGTCATTCTTGATGTAGAGTGTAGAGCTCTAATGCACAAATGGATTCCCTAGCAACTTGAGGAAGTTAATGACTCTTTTACTTATTAGGAAGTGATGAAGGCACCGGAGAGAATCTGGTTCATTGCTTAATACTTTGTATCCAAAGACTACACCTTCTTGATATTACAACCTGGGGTGTTTAAATGATGATCTTTGCTTCAGGAAAGTGCATTAGTAACTAATCAGTGTAAAATTAAACTTATTACACTATTCTGATCTGGGAAATTTAATAGATGACCAAAAATAGCACAGTTAATATTGTCTCTGGATAAGAACATATATGCCTGGAACCAAGACAGAGAGTCTAGAACAACTAGTTACTTGGGAGAGGGATGCACTTTAGGGATACTCTTGAATTGCACTCAGCAACATGGTAAATCCTCTTTAAGCTTTATGTAAATCATTCTCATTCATACATTTTACAAATATTTCAATAGCTGTCAAAGATTTCCCAAGAAGGGATGCCACTGCATATATTTGAGATTTTAATGTTTCTGGCCTCCTCTATCATCAGTCCAAGGAAAACAAAGTGGTAAATAGTCATAGGCAAATTCCATTTCTAAAAGAGATGGGCTCATCTGGCATCAGAAGACAGAATAAGATATTTTTCTCCTCATTAAGTTTTTATATATTCAGTAAAATTAGCCAAGTCCCACTAATAAAGGAGAGCCCACCTGTGCTGTGCCTCTGACACAAGCACATATTTTTAACTAAACAAGATGTAAACAATTTTATCCTAAAAGTTTCTGCTGATTTTGGTCTCTTGAAATTTGCATGTCCTGTCATCCAAATTGCCCAACACCCCACCAGTTTTGCCCCAAACACATACACTACAAGCAAGTCCGCACACCACTACCTCCAGCTGGAACTTAACTTCATGCAGGAGAACTACAGGCACTGGTTAAAGAGTAATCACATCTTAATAGACGGCATTCCAGCACATCCATTATTAGTTTGTCTTCTGTTGTGGTGGTGGTTCTGTTATTCACAAAAGAAGAAGGAAACATGTGTGTCATCTTTTATAACAGTCTACTACAGAGTAAGGTACAAAAGAACACTTCTGGAAACAGCAGAAGCCAGGCCTGCCCCACTGAGCTCCTCGTCCAGTGGTAACCATTATATCAACAGCTGGAAAGTAAGAACAAGAATATACAGTTTGGAGGACTTCGTACAGAACTATAGTTTTCTTCTGTATTTGGTACCAATATAATAAGTGTATAACAAAGGTGCATTCATTCTAAAAATAAAACAAACATTCTGGTAGGTTAGATACTGCACTTTCAGTACTGCACGGTAACTTTTTTTTTTTTACAAAAAAAGGTAACTTATGCAACATTTAGAATAAGAAAACCAATAGTACACGCGAACCTGACTGTAGAAAAAGAAGAAAAGACCAACCAAAAGCTAGCGTAGTCACTTTCCAGAACAGCCCCTCCTCCGCCATCACAATCCAGAAAGTAACCATTACTGTGAGGCGATTTCAGCACCGGGCCGTGCTGGACAGCTCCCCGGCCCTCGTGCTGAAAACGCCCAGTCAAAGGCGTTCCTCCGAGTGCTGGGAGCAGAAAGCGGTAAGGGTTGCTTTTGTTTTTGTTTTCACTCATTTATAGATCTGAATGTATTTATTGTGCTCGGCCAGCGAGAGACATGTATTAGCTAAAATGCTCAGTCCTGGAAAAAGTAATGGTTAACCAAGGAGTGAGAAGATGGCTGACCGAGGGGAGTACCTGTTCCTCTCCTAAACATTTTTCTGGGACTTGCTCTGTGGCCTCTTGTAGTCCTGATGCTTAACGCAGAGTTTTCTTCACAACATAATACGCCTGAGCCCAGCTGAGAGTGAAAAAGGGGCGGAGAGGGAAGCTAAAGGAAAAGTGAACGCTGGCGGAGGGGAGGGAAGTTACCTTGACCTGACAGCTATGTACAACACTACTGGGCCCCTCCCTCCCTTTGCCCCAGTGTCGGTGCCTTTTGTGGGTTTGGTAGCTTGTGCAGTTTCTCCTCCGTACTGAGGGGGATACATGGTGACGAGGGAAGATGCATCCTTCACTGACAATGAGAAAGTATGTGATTTGTCATGCGCTTGGATTGTGTTATTAGTATCATAATAATTACTATAAATATTAATAAAGTATTATCAGCACTATTTCTTCTTCCGAGACTTTCCTTGCCCAATATTTACAATACCGCACAGTGCCTCGGTGGAGGAGAAACAGGAGGGGCGTGGGGAGATGGGGAAGGAGGAGGAGGAGGAAAAAGAGGGTCAGAGGAAAATGGAAAAGGAAGGAAGGAGGAAGAAAGCCAGGATGCTGGAAATGAGACGGGTGAGGAGAGGGCTACACCATCAGGAAAGTACCACCGCTTGCAAAAGGCCCTCGCCAGCTGTGTCCGAGGAGGAGGTCGCCTGCGCCCCGCGTGGACTGGGGGCTGGCGGTGGAGGCGGAGGCGCGCAGGGACCCTGGCGAGGAAGCCCAGGGGATGAAGAGCAGGAGAAAGTGGCGTTGGAGGGCGCGCTGAAGGCCGAGTCCCTGGGCTGCCTCTCCAGCCGGGTCTCTTTTCCTGGAGTTGGGACCTGACCACCAGCCCGGGGCATCCCCCCTCCGCCGCGGCTGCCGCTGCAATGATCCCTCTCGTATTCCTCCTGCGCCCTCTGCATCTTCCTCTTCTTCATCCGCCGCTTGTGGATGTGGAAGGTGGACAGAGACAGCACGATGAGGCAGAAGATCAGAGTGACGAGGACGATCAGCACCAGCGTGGAGGAGAAGGACTGGAAGAGCTGCTGTCCCACCTGCGTGATGCAGGTGCCGCCGCCGCCTCCGCCTGCGCCGGGGCTGCGGGCGCCCGCGTGGCCGCTGCCGCTGTCGTTGGGGGAAGCAAAGGTCCGGTTGAGGAGACACGGCGGCAGCGCCAGCCTCAGCTCCTTCGGTGCCCGGGCACTCATGGGCGCTGGGCTGGGAGGGGCCGGGCCCACCAGGCTTCCGCTGTCTGCCACACCGTTCCCACCAGCCGAGGAGAGGACAGAGCCCACGCCACCCAAAACTACTCCCCGCACGGGAGGGAGTGCGCACGCGAGCCGGGGACCGAGGAAGCCACTGCCCGGGAGCGCGTGCCGCTGGGGGAGCTTCTTTCTCGCCTCGAGTCAGTCTCCAGGAGCCCCTTTCCTGCGCACAGGGCTGCAAAGAGAACAGGTTTGATTAGGGTCCCGGTCGCTGCCAAGGCGAGCGCGGAGGACAGGGAGAGTCGGCCACCACCGCAGCGCGGCCCTGGGCGCGCCGCCTCAGCTGGGCGCTGTCGGTCTCCTGCGCAGTCCGCGGACCCCAGCCCCACCGTCCTCCGGCGCGCCAGGGCGGCGACTGCCGGCTCCCGCCGCGCTCTGCAGAGGGGTCCACGCCAGCACCGCCAGCACCGCGGAGGTGCAGATTACTCAGCAGATAGGGAGCCTCCCGGCGCCCTTAGCAACTTTCTAATTGCTACTGACACGGAGCTGCCTCGCTGACGATCCCTGCATCCCCGAGTACCGAGTCTCCTGTCCCCCAGCCTCCGCCTACCCTCTCCAGCGCCCATTCCCAGCCTCCGATCCGACTCCGGGTCCGCAGGTCTCCTTTCCTCCCCTTCCCTGCAGACTCTTCCTCCCCAGACGCGTCAGGCCGCTCAGGTCCCGTTCCCAGGAGGTCCCTCCTGGCTCCACAGCCCTCCCCGCCGCCGAAGCTGACGCGCAGGATCGTGCCCGGCCTTTCTTCAGCTTCCCGGCACCTCCCCCAACCGAAAAACCCAGCAGCTGAACCACCTTTTCCCGCTGAAGCGCATTCCTGCAAACGCCCCCTTCTCCCCCGGGTCGCCTGCACCCCTCCTCCAGCTGAAGGTAACCTGCTTCTTTGCAAAGGGCCTAGAACTGGCAGGGGAGGGTCCCCGCCTGCAAAGTTTGGGGACAAACCCTCTCTCCGGCCTTCCAGCCTCGGCCAGAGGGGCCCGAGGCTGTTTCTGGGGACGGAGCCGGCGGAGCGCCGCACGCACACAGCCTCCTCGCCGCTCCCAGGAGGCGGCTGCAAACTGTTGCACTGCGGAGCTGCGGGGCGGCGCGCAGCGGCCGGGGCCCGAGCCCGGGGCAGGGTGCCCGCCCGCGCAGGCCTGCGAGCTGGCCTCCGGCTCCCGACTGCCCCCGCCGCCCAGCCCGCCGACCGTCCGCCGCTCGGCGCCTCTTACCTGGAGCCGCCAGCGGGCTGCAGGGACCGAGCCCCGCCGCGCGGCTGCAGAGGCGGCTGCAGAAGGCGCCGTGCGAAGGGCCGGAGACCAGCCGCGCTCGCGCCGCCGCTTCGCCGCTGCTCCGGGAGCTCAGCTGCCAGCCTATTGCCAGAGAGGCCGATGACGTCAGGCAGCCACCGCCAGGGCTCCGAGCCACCCCGCGGGCCCCCACCCACCCTCGCACCCGACACCTTATCCTGGCACAATGCCCTCGGCTTCGCATGTTCCCGGGCGCCTGCTCTTCTGTCTCCAGCCCGGAGGCGACAAGGAACAACTCCTACCGCCACCCCCACCCCACCCGCGCCCACCCCACGCGCCCAGCGACCCACCTTCCGGGCTGCTTTGCTAGGAAAGGCTGCAGCCTCCGCTCCGCCTCAGGTCTCAGTTCTCAAAGGCAGCCCTTTCTCAGGTGGTCCCGGAACGCATTTTTGCACCCTAGACAAGCTCCTTCTGAGGTGGACTGATCAGACTTTCTCCCAGATGGCTAAGGAGGCTTCCTGGACCCCCAAATCTTGTTTGTGCTGCCCCTTGTTCTCAACATAAACTGCCTGCATTATAGCAGGGGCATTTGTCAACAGGAATGTGGCAAAACCTGAAACACAAACCTCAGTACGAACCAAGGGAGCTAAATGAAACATTTTTATCGCACAAGTTTTTATCTGTCATGCTGCCTGCCTCAGGACCCTTCTGTCGCTCACACTCCTTACAGGCCGAGACCCTGCAAGGCGTTAAACACCCTTCTAGGCTGACGCTCGTGAGCATACGCAGTACGCACCAGAATTTCTTAGAATGCAGAAATGAGTGGCCCACGAAAATTCTGACTGGATCTCTACAAAGTACTCCCTCATTGACCCTAATTTTTGTTAAAGTGTTTAGTGCTTCTGCCTTGTTTGTAGTATTGTAATATTACAATACTAAAGCAATATTTCGGCAAAAATGGACAGAATTTCTAGAGGACTCTCAGAAGCCTGCCCAAATCTTGTTTTGAAGTAATAAGCTATTGGTTTAAGACCCACCAAAAAAGTAGGTGTACTGCATTTGATTATAGTAGCATTTTTTTTAGTTGGAAAAGGCAGCTTGGAACACTACATAAAAGGCATTATAAAGTGCTGAGAGGCACTTAGATGTCATTAAATGTGCATTTTTGCCTCTTTCTGTCTTCTATTCTTTCTGTCTTTGAGTCTAGCACAGGAGCCTGTACAATACCTGTTGGTAAATTAAACAATGCAGTATACATTGCTGCCTTTTCCTGTAACTCATTAGAAATGAAAAGAATGAGTGATGCCCACTTATCTGCTCCTATTTGCTGTATCTGTGAGAAAAACTGTCTGATATGCAGAGAAAAAGGTTATCTGTAATATGGGGCAATAAGCCCTCTTTCTGACCTTGCTTGTGTTTCTATCTAGTTCTACTTCAAATTTTTCCCTTCTTCCTTTTTTTTTTCTTTTTGCTCATGTCTTGCATATGGAAGGAAATATATACCATATCTCCCCAAAATTCTGTTTTCATTTATTTGAATACAAGTCATCTGAACTGGGAGTAGAGGTCAGTGTCCTAGCATGTGCAAGGCCCCCGGTTCCCAGCACCACCACTACCACCCCAAAGTCACCAGCTTTGTCTTTAAACCAAGTCAATAAAAAATATCACTATTTAAGCGAAATAACTGAATACGAATAATGCATAATTGCTCCAGAGCACAAATTGATGCCCTTGCCTGCCCAAATCACAATTAGTGATGGTCAGTGACCCCTATGCTAGGGTAGCCTTCTTGCCTATCATGAGGTCACCTGATCCTGGTAAAAGTCTACTTCCACATTTGCATATTCTGACTTTGGTGGGTTAAGGGAGCCAGGAGCCTTTCTGTTCGTTTTGCTGTGGACACTGAGACTTCTCTAGTGACACCTGACAGGGAATGCATCGTTTTTGCACATAGAGTTTGCTCTTGAAAAGTTGAGTCTAATCAACATTTTGTAAAGCAAACCCAATTTTAAATATCCCAGAAAGAGATCTAGCTATTTAAAGAGATGCTTTAGCAGAAAAAAAGAAAGCTATTTTGTAAAACAAAGAATCTTTACATAATTAGAGTTAACTCTCAGTGGTCTGTGTTTCAGATTCAGTGGCATTAACATATTTTCTAGAGGAAAATATTGCTTTAAAATATATTGTAATAGTATTGTATGTATATAATGAGATACTTCTTACATACCATGCTTTTAGGACATGTCAGGAGGCTGCCACTGTTCTTATTCTTTTGTGACAAACGAGAACCATCTGTTATATCAGGGATGCTAAAAATGTCTGTGCCATTTTATACAACCTATGAAAAGACAAGGTCTTACACCCGAGAATTTAAAACCCACAGCAGTTGTATGTGATTCAGAAGATAATGGTATTTAACCGAAAATTATTTAGATATATTGAAGACATAGAGTTTCAGATTCAAAGCCCAATATACCTCCTTTCCTTTTCGTAAAGAAGAAGCTATAGATCTGTAATTTGTGCTTATACAGAAGACAAGTATGGTGAATACACAGACTTGGATGTCACTGAGCAGCATGATTCCAAGCTAAGCAACAGGGAAGACTGTGCACACAGTGGCTGCAGGATCTTGGTCCCACTGAGTTGTTATACACTTTGGGCACATTGGCATAATGGCAAGATTTCTTCTATACAATAGGTGGCCACTATTTCAGCCATCAAAATTTTCAGGCCACACTATTTAAGAGTAGAAAATGAAGAAGCTTCTGAGACTTTTCTTGTGATAGAAAAGCCTTTTTGGAATCAGGCATGTTCCCAGTATTCAACCAAGGACAATACTTGTTTGCAAGCTTTGTGAAGGATCTCTGTCTACCTTAGAAAGAAGTGCCAGATAGGCACATGTGTATCGATTCTCCCACCAAAAAATTACTGAATCAACAGTACTAGTAACAATGCTAGCTCTTACCATTATTATAAAACACCCACTAACTGCCAGGCTTTATCGAATTCTTTATATTAGCATTGATTCTCACTAAAACCCCACAATGTTATTGTGGCCAAAATACACAATAATTCATTCATCAACTTATTCATTCACTTATTTGTTCAAAGAAAGGCTTTGAGTGCCTGCTGTACGTAAGAAAACTAAAGCTCAGAATTCTTAAAAACTCATGCCCAAGTCACCCAATAATAGAATATTACTAACTGCATTACTAGGCACAAATCCAGGCAAATTAATTCCAGTGTTAGTATTCTTTTTGTGACTAGTAGTGTCTGCCTCTGTGTCTTTCTGTCTGTATGTATGTGTTAACTCTATTTCCATTTTTATCAATAATTGTATCTTCTTTTGATTGCAGTATTAAAGGATAAGTAAAGAAAGTCAGAGGTGTCTGAAGCAGAAAAGGGTTTCCTCATCTCTTCCCTACAACAGCCAATAGAACTTCCACTCTGTTTTGGACTGAGAAAATGCTAGTTTGGAAACCACTGTACCGAGTCATTTGGGCAGCACGTTATGGATCACAATGCAGCCTGATCTATATCAGGCCCCTCTGAGAGGTAGAGGGACTTTTCCAGAGAATAAGCAGCTGTTCTAATATTTTTCCTAATTTTATTATCTCCTCTACTGTTGGTCCCTACCCACCTACAACAATGCCAACACATTGTCATGTTACTGTAAAATCAACCACTGTGCCTGCCTGCCAGCCACTAAACAGGACTTTGAATGAAGTGACTTTGCTTAGTATTTAATTCTTTTCCAGTTCAATGTCCTTGTTTCTAACATTGGAATGACAGTAATGATGGTAACAATATCTTCTTTGGAGTGGTGGTGTAAGTATGGAATGTATAACAAACATTGAATAAGGAGCAGCAGCTTTTATATTGTAAGGGAAATTACTAAGATTTATGTTTTATCCTTGGCAATATAAACATTGTATTGTTTTGGGCATCAATGTTAAGGAAAATTTGCTAAGTTTTCATGTTCTTTATATGAACATGACTAGAAGGGTGAGGAAATATTTTAAAAAGTATGGATAATGATAAATTATAGAGTGATAATATTAACCCTAGAGATAGAATTTGGCAGTACCTTACAGCATCTTCCAATGCTTACGGCACCATCAACAGAAGATTAATTTATTCAACTTTAAGCACTCAAGAAAGAATTAAAGCATAGTGAAACAGACCTTTCTAACCATGTATGAGGTCACCATCTATACCAACATTCTCAAACTGGAGAAATCATATCCTTGAGAATATATTTTAAACATTCCCAGGGAGGAGTGTGGGAATATGTATTGAAAATGTAGTTTTGAGAGAACTATTTTCCCATTTCCCTGTCTTTATATATACTTTTTCCCAAAATGTGTGTGTCTGATGTTAGAATATATCCTTTACCACCTTTCCTTTTATTCCTCCTCTTTTACCAAAGAAAATCAGACCTTCACCAATCCTTTATCTGCATTGTTCAGGGTATAAAATATTTTGGGAATCAAATGAAAAACTATCTTGAGGATATATAATTCCTTGGAGGAAGTGAAAAGAAAGCAAAAAAAAATCACTTGTAAAATGTATTGGGAAAACAATACTTTATTTAAGGAACAAAATCATTTTAAGGAGCTATGTCTTATCTACCTATTGTGGCTTATATCTAGGTTGTCTGTCAAAAGTCTCATGTGTTCAAAGGTTGGGTTTTGGAAGTTGATTGGATCAGGGGCAAACCATACTCATGAGTGGACCAATCAGTGATGAGTTTATGGTTAAATGTGTTGGTAGGAGTGGGGCATGGTGGACAGGGGCGAGTCAGCCACCTGCAGGAAGGCGTACCTCTGACAAATACGTCCCCCCCCCCATCTGCTCCTTACCCTCTCTACTTCCAGACTGCCCTGAAGTGAGCAGCTTTCTCCACCTTAGCTTCCTACTATAGAATCTGTACATTGGAGCCAACAGAATATGAACTAAATCCCTCAAACCTTAACCTTCTTTTAAATTGTGGGTGTCTGTTACTATATCCCAGTAATGACAACACTAATATACTACGTATGTATTGATTTATCTTAGAATATGAAAATGAGATGGTTTTTAGAAGGATAAAACCATTCCTGCTTATTTAAAATATGGATCCAGATTCTTTCTAAAAGAATTAAGTCTGATTTGTCTACTTGGTTTGGTAATTTTAACTGAATTTTCTCCATGGATAGTAGGGAAGAGATACAAATTGAATGAGCTACATCTATTGATCCAAATACATTTATATTTGGACAAAATGTATTTGAAGTACATTTTAAATATTGAATATGCCAGAAGCCACTTCCTTTGCAACCAAATTTATGATTTAAAAGGTTTAGATATCACCTTAAAATGTGTAAAAGGTGCTTCTGTCTTTCAAAGCACATACATGCAATAAAGCTTTCTGATTGCTATTTTATATTCTCTAGCTTCTGTTATAAGATTTGGAAAGTCTCAAACACAAACTATCCCCATCAAAAGTATCACAAAAATTCTTTTTTTTAATCATATGAAAAAATACATTTTCATAACCAAGTAATGATGATAACAGTTTTTATACTGTGTATTGTTATCTTCAAAGGAGGTAGTTCAAGATATAAATCAAAAATATTCTTACAGAAGAAGAGACAAATGGATAATAACACAAACTCTCTTTTCAATGAACTAAGATAAAC